TTGAAGTAGTGACGTTGAAGACCCAAGTAAGACCTACTTTGATCTCTCTCTCTCTCGCTCGCTCTATGTGTATAGACTTTAAGGCGTCCTTGTTAGTGGGACACATATCTCGTTTCACGCAGTGTGTTGCAGAGTTGTGCACAAACGCAGTCATTTTGCGGAGTGCCCTGACGTGAGCCATATGATGCCAGATGGTGTCGAACAGAGGCACCAAGAAAAGTGCTGCACTCAGACCATGGGGCGACATGACGGTGGTACACGGGGGTTTTGAAGTCCTGTTGTACTTTTCCCTTATGCAGGGTTGGTTGCCAGCATTTTGGCTTCTTGAAACTGGCCGTTGGGATGGGCATGGAAGGCTTGAGGAGAATCAAAGCAATCAAGCCCAACAAACTCATTATATACTGTAACTATATAGTGTTATCTACAATATATATATAGAGATTAGATCTCCTATGATTTCATCAGATGTTGAGGTTTTATTAAAGCGTCCAGATGCTGGGATCGTTCTTGCCCCGTAGAAAGCAACAGGGTGCATCAGAGCTTGGCACACTACATGACACCTTGTGCTCAGGCCAGGACATTGTGAGGCTGGAGAAGATTTTGGAGCACACGCAGAACAAGTCCGAAACGGCCTTTCCCTCAACCTGTCTGATGCTGGATGATGAGACGTACCAGAACATCAACACGAACTAACTAAGTGTCCTATATATTTTACATTGATTACTATTTTTGTTTGTGTTATTTGGTTGGTGCTTGGTGTCCTGGCTGGAGCGAATGCCAAATGCCATCAGAGTACTTCCTGGACGTGCCTGGCAACTTTCTGTTGGAAGTTTACGGCTTTCCAAGGCCATCAACCTAGCCCAGCAAATCTTGGATGGAAAGCTGGAAGATTTGCCCGACATGGGTGAGGCTTGCACCAACTGCGCAGAAGAAGGGGAAGAGCAGGAACTGCGCAAGGTTGTGTGTAGCGAGTGTATTCAAAAGGATTGCTCTGCCAAACTTCAATGGCCCCTAGTCCCCTTAAGGCAGAGGACGTTATGAAGAAGTTCAAGCTCGATGACGAAGCAAGACGCAAGCTTGTCCTGGCCTCATCGTCGTTCGTGGAGGACACTCGTTACAATCTGCCTGTTCAGCCCTTTTGATGTTGCATTTGTGTAAATCCTTATCATGAAATACAAGTTTCCCTCCTCTATTATGCAATGCCATTCCATTTTCTTTACAATTCTCATCCTTTCTAAGACTTTTATTGGCTCTGATCTTTGACCTTCAGGAAAGGTTGCCCTTTTCAAGGATCACAATGTGAAAGGTCTTGTGTAAGAAATCCATGTTGTGCAAAGGCTTCACCCCTAAATCAACAATCTAGACGTACTGTAGATTGTAATGGTAGTGGCTCATCAACCCTTTTTTCTTTGGTCTAGCTCCCTTGATTGTATTTCCGTTGTATGTTTGTTTCTCAGGATTTGCTCATAGAAAGCGCTCAGCAAGAGCTAGAAACCTACCTGACCAAACAAACGCCCCTTGAGGACAGGAATAGCTTGTGAACGCAAAAACGAAAGATGTGAAGAAGGGGTCAACAATTAAAGTACTGCATAATTTAAAGTAGATTGAGATGAGACAGACCAAAAAAACACGGGAAGGTGCCAAATAGGCGAAACGGATGCAACCAGCAATCGAACAACCAACCAAAGCAGGGTAGACGGGTAGAAGAAGTAAGTAAAGACAGCAACCATTTGCACATTGTTGGGCGGCAATGAGTTGTGAAATCCCATTTTGAGGATAGGGTTTTGCGCCATAGGCAGCAGGAGCATTGTATTGCAAATTGAGATGACCACGTCTCAAGAAAGTTGTACAGGGCTTAGGTGGGCCCTTTCCACACAAAAGACCGTGAAAAACAACATCGCAGAAAAGAATTAACAAACAAGGTAAAAGGCATTCACCGCAAGTGTATCCTAGCCTCAACTTTAGGCCAGTGCACTTGCAAACCCTTGCTTGGACAGACCTCTACCTAGCAGTCTTTCATGGCAAAAGGGTGGCAACCATCGAATAAACAAAACAACAAGTATTCCTGAGAGGTGTTTGGCTGGGACGGAAAGGTGGCCTCCAAGAAAAAGGACAAATACACAACAAGCATATAAACTTTTCTAGAGTGGGCTGGGGCTGCCAGGGGTCCTCAAAAGAGTGTACAGATTCATATGTTTTATTGCTAGGACAATGTGTTAAAACTCTTAGCTGAAGCCTTGGGCAGCGTCTATGCAGAGGATAGATGTGTGTGAAAGAGCCCAGAGAAGTCCCTAGGTTCAGATCGTCCTTCAGAGAGCAGATGACAGCTCACGTGTGCTGGGCAGACTGGAGGCCATGAGTTTCAAGTTCATGTTGAAGATGTTTGAAAGTATGTATTGGTTTGGAATTGCATGTTGGAATTTTATGGTTTTGCGATCTTGGCTTTGATTGGGGCTACAGTGTCAGATGATTGGACGTTCAAATGTCACAGGAAGGTATATCTGGAGCTTCCCTGCAAGAATGCAAAGCTCTTCAAGACAGTCATGACACTGCACGTGCGTAAAGTTGGACTTGTCCTTTGTGCCCCATCATGAATCATTGTTTCCGACCATTTTTCCCAAGTTGTGACCTGTCGACTCCTCTTCTCGAAAAAGCATGATATTCCTTTTTCTCCCGCAATCGTTGAGCACCCCACCAACCCAACCATTTTCTTGATGTTGAGGCTGCATATCAGAACTCGCAATTACCTGCATTTTTGGCAACACATGCAAGTCTGGATGATGCGGGCCATGTGTCACAACACTAACTTCGTGCATGCTGTTGGCCAGCACGTGCAGCAAGTTTGAGTTTGTTGTGCGGGTGGATGGTGTAGCCTTCGCAGAGGACTGGTCTCTTGGGTTTGTGCTCGGGGAAGCTGCATTTCCGCAGCCACAGGTCACTTGTGACTGCGCTCGTCTAAGCTGCATACTGCCCTTCTTGGGCCCTAAGAGACGGTCCTGAACGTACTTTGGGTTTGACCTTTTGAGGTTCGGTGCTGGCTCTCAGCCTCCGCGGTCACACTCAGAACAACAAGTTCAATTTCACGAAACAGCTTGTATTCATGATGATTGCATCCTGGACGGAGCGGCATATGACCAACTTAGACACTCCCTTGCGCGGGACTTTCCAGACGACCGCTTGCAAGTAGGGTTGAAGCACTGTTGAAGCCTTGGTGCTGTCCTAGCTAGAAATGGGTCGAGCAGCAAGGCTTCCACGCTGCTTAACCATTCCCGACAAATCGATTTCCTCAATCACTCTTGAACCGCGTGAGCTCAAGGTCTATCTCGAGTCTGCACGGAAGCCATCAGACGCTGTAGCTTCGATGCATTTAACCCATTCCCGTGCAGTCAGAAGGTATGGAAATTGCCCTTTGCAACTGCTTCTCGGCCCCTGTGGATTTGAGGTGAGAACAATGTTTGGCCGTCTTATGGCTGGAGGGGCTGCTACCTCAGTTGTAAGGAAAGCCGGAAGCTGGCTGGGCAGCCAGCAGTTTTTGACGGAGCTATGTAGATGACGAAACTACCTACTGCAGTATATTATATGCTTAGACCGCCGTTGCGTTTTTGCGAACATTTTGCAACAAATCTGGTTTTGAAACTCGGGCCCAGGACGTGCCAGAAGAGCACAAAGACAAAGAGGAGAAGAGAGGTGGCGATGATGACCGCGATGGGTCCAGAGGCCCTGGCCAACGTGATGGCATAGACACGATCAATCCGTAATTAAATAAATCAAGGCATGCACATCAATCCATTGAAGTGGGAGTGACGTGCTTCCAGATCGCCGCCGTGGACGAGACCGCGACCGTGACCGTGATCGTGGGGATCTCTGGATGGCTTCAACTTGCGGGGTTCGTTAGCACTGCCCTGAAGTTGCCTTGTAGATTTGTGTAGGCCGCTCCAGGTCCCGCTCACGTTGACACCTCAGTTGGGTTTGATCAGGTGTGAATTCAATTATCGCAGGTGCTCATTGAATCAACCTTTTTCATTTCCTAGAATTCAAGAAGTCATTGATGTGCTTTCCCAGCTGAATGCTGCGAAAAGAACTCACGGCTCCAAGAAGTCTAAGCAACACCACCCAGCACTCTTTCAGGACGCCGCTCCCGTTCGCGAAGACGCTGAATGAACTCAGAAACGCGCTGTCCCAAAGTGGGGAAGGGGCAGTTCACGGCAGTTTACAGTGAGCCATTGGCCATTCCCCACGATGCTCAGCCATACCCAGCCATGCCACGCACTGCGCAGGCTATTTGTGCCCGACCCTTGGGCTGGATTGCATGTTTAGCTACAGTGGTTGCTGGAGCCAAGAATTGGAAGTTCGGCTGTGCTCAGACAAGTCTGCTGTTGGCCCACAAATCTTTCAGACAGGCCTCCCAACATCCTCAAATCACTACATAGTGTGGGTAGTTCCTGACCCCATGTGTCCTCCCAGAGTGTGGCCGTTGTGGCTGTTTTGTACACGTACCGCTCAGACACACTCGCCAGTGCGACCTGCTGCGTTCCATCTATATACTGTACCATCGGGCGCAAGGTCAAAAAATTGCACGGAATGTCGGGCAGGCTTATCATACCTGTGACTTGATTTGCCAGGTAGATGACTTATGCTACTTGTTTCAATTTGTGTAGGATAAATTGCAAGAACCATGTGTTCTGAAAACGTGGTGTGATTTTATTTTCCAGTCCAACAGAGCAACGAACTACCTTGGTTGATTTTGTTGGCTTCAAGCATGCAGTTCCTGCGTCGTGGCTCAGACCTAGCGACTGTTCTGACCAAATCCCGATTTTTCACCACACCAAGGTAGGAGGATGTGAGGCCTGTGCTAGGATCATTGTATTTCAGGAGCACGGACAGTTCTTGCAACCCACTTCGAGTTGACCAAGACCTTAACTCAAGTGTAGCTTGAGACCTTTATTTATTGTGGCAGGCCTTCGGGCTTCTAGGGGGGGGAACCTCTGGCAGTCTGCGCGATGTTGTCCTGGACTTGTCGTTTGATGCGCCCTTTAGCATGTGCAACCTGGCTGTAAGCAGAACGTGTTAGGAACATCGACTGGTTGAGACATTTTATGCAGAGAGAGAGGGCGGGAGTGTGGGATGTGGAGGGCAGTGCTGAGTTTCTCTCGTGTCTCAGTCTCGAACGGATGTCGAAGGAACACTTTGGCTTTTCACATTGGGTGCTTGATGACTTGATGCATATTGATTTGAGCTGCTTTGCAAATAAGCATGAAGACGCAGAAGGTTCTTATAGGAGTTCTCAGGCAATCATACATTGCCCTCTGGAAGGGTTGTATGGAGCAAGTTGCAGCCAGAGACAGCAAATGCGAGGCCCGGCGGATATCGGCGCCAGTGGCACTCACTGTTTCCAGGCACCTGGACGGGACGCAGACCAAAATATGTGGGGTTTGTGATGCTGACTGTGGCGCAAGTATTTGCTCAAGTGTTTGCAGCGCTCGAAGCCGAAGCACAGTATAATTATATACGTTTTCTGTGATGGTGCCCGTTGCCGGTGCATGTTTTTGCTTTGCGTCAGGCGTTGCTTCGCAGATCTGCAGGATGAGAAGGACATCCAGGCGGAGCAAAACCAGATCAACAGTCTTAGAATAAGGCGCTGCACAAACTGAATGGTGCCAAATGCAGTTTTGGACTGCGCTCTTTTGTCGTGGAACACATTCGCAGCCATTTGCAGGGGTTCAAGGAATGGCTCCTGGGGATATGGAGCCAGACCAGGTGCTGCGGTGGGCAGCTTGATTTTTAGGGCTAGAATGAACAACTACCACTTGTACGAGGAGATCGGGCGTGGCAAATACTCTCAAGCTGCTTGGACTAGTATTTTTCCCCACATTGTTGTGTGGGGTTCTTGTTTTTTTTGCTGCACCTCCTCGCTCGTCCTCGCTCGTCCTCCTCCGTCCTCCTCCTTCCTTCCTCCTTCCTCCTCTCTAACTACAACCTCTCTCACACAACATCTCTCACAACAACATCTCTCACAACAACATCACTCAGACAACATCCCACACACAACGTCTTGCATACAACATCACTCACACAACATCTCTCACAACAACATCTCACACACAACACACAACATCACTCACACAACATCGGATGCCAAGGGGTCGGATGACAAAACATCACTCAGAGAACATCCCACACACAACGTCTCACACACCACAGCACACACACAACATCTCTCACAACAACATCTCACACACAACAGCACACACACACACAACATCACTCACAGGCGCAGCACATCTCGTGGCAGGCACAGCACTTTGCTGCTTGCCAAGGGGTCGGATGTACGCCCTGGCGTCGGCTGGGCACGATTTCGTGGCAGGCGCAGTACTTTGTGAACCTCCGTGTGCAGATCTCGTGGCAGGCACGGCACTTTGCTGCTTGCCAAGGGGTCGGATGTACGCCCTGGCGTCGGCTGGGCACCGGCGCTGGATGTGCAGATTTCGTGGCAGGCGCAGCACTTTGTGAACCTTCATGTGCAGATTTCGTGGCAGGCGCAGTACTTTGTGAACCTCCGTGTGCAGATCTCGTGGTAGGCGCAGCACTTTGTGAACCTCCATGTGCACTGTGTGCGGCGCTTGCTGCT